AGCAATAACATCTCCAACCCACCCTAACCTGCCAAAAAATTTAAAGTTCGTCTTAGTTTGTTTTGCATTTTGGATGGTATTTTGGTTGTGGCATGGATAGAGGTATTACGTTTTAGTACTCACCGCTACTTCCTGTATTTTGTACTTTTCTCCTCAAGTTTTTTTTCATAAACTGTCACTTCACAGATGTAAAACTACTGTAAATATTTATCAGTAGGTACTAGGGATGGGACAAGATCTCACGCCACAAGATCTCGTGCCACAAGATCATGGACACATGAGAAAACTCATCTCACGAGATTTTTTTCCCACTGAATTTACTTTTTCCTTAGACAAAAAAGAGTTAAAGCTGGGGAGTTATACAATTTGTGAAGCTGTAGTTCTAAAAAGCAGCACTACAATGACCCGTAAAGTGTAAAATACATGAAACCAACCTTGTGAACTAGATTGCACTACTAATTTATTACAGATTATTAGTGTCGTTGTACTTGAAAAAGGTTTTGGTCTCAAGACTGTTTTTTTATGCTCTCCGTCTCGTCTTTAGGCTCGACCGGGTTTGGACTTGGTCTTGTGTCGGTCTTAAAGTCTCTTGGTCTTGTTCTTGTCTCGGACTCAAGGTCTGACACTCGTCAAGTGCGATCATATTTCATTACAGTCGCTGCTGTCTTCTTCTTCTAAACTTCTTACCGCGACATGTGGTTGAAGTTTACCAATAAAAGTGCACAAATCCATCTGTATTTGTCACGACGTGCGTTTGGCTAAATACCACTGCAAAACCAGTAAGAGAACGTAACTCCAGTTAGAGACTTGAAAAAACAGGTTTAAAAATCCTACCGACTTTCTTCACAGTTTTCTGTAAAGTGCCAGTGGAAGTTCTCTTAAAGAAGAGGTTCTCAAACTGTGGGTGAGGGTTCAAAAAAAGGGTGTTTCAGTGCAGCACCGTTTGCTTGGCTTATTTTAGGCCTAAATGAACATTAATCAGATAAAATGGAGATAGATGTATAAAAACATTGACCTATATGTGCCAAAATAACTGTAAAATCCAAATACAGTATTTTTCGGACTATAAGTCACACTTTTATTCATGGTTTGGGTGTTTCCTGCAACTTATACTCTGGTGCAACTTATATATTAAAATTTTCAGACTGACAGCCTTGAGAGGCTCTAGGCTTGTGTGTCAGTATCTATTACTCCTGTACCACTATCACTTCGCATTCTACTGCGCATGTCTCCTGTAGAAAAAGCCGTTGCTCTGCTGCAAATAGGGAAATCTGCTGCTGAAAACGGTAATCGAGCAGCAGAAAGAAAGTTTGGAGTGAGCAAGAAACTTGTGAGGGACTGATGGAAAGCGGGGATGGAGAACACAGCTTCATGGCAACCGGTCGGCTGTGCCATGCAACTTTCCTGGAAGTCACTGGATGAATTGACAAAGCCTGGACTTCAATGACAATCGAAATGATCCTGTCGGGATTCAGAAATACCGGAATAATTCTAACTGGAACTGATGCTGAGTCTGACGACAGCGACTGTTACGACCCAGCTCGTTTGGGGTGAGGGAAGTAACAAAAATAAAACCAAGATGTAAAATGGAATAAATTAAGTAATGTTTAATTAACAGGAATGTAAAGGTAAATAACAGCAGAAACAACCTAAACTAAGAAACAGAACAACAGAATAAACAGAGTTTTGTGCCAGAAAAGGAGTCACGCAGGCTTACACTAAAACGAGTGGTAAAACTCACACACTAAACTAAACACAAGTTCCAAATTAAACCACATAAACCCACAAACAGAATCGAGTGACCAAATCAAAAAAGGCACAAAACAGAACTATCACACAAACACAAAACCAAAATGGCAGACTGACCACCAAGGCCAGCAGCCCCGAACAGGTTGGCATCTCCTTAAATAGAGGTGGCTGCAGGTGAGGTGGGCATTGACCAATCATGACCAGATTCTGAGCAGGAATGGAAACTTCACAAAAATCACACAGAATTAAACCTAAGGCCTGGGGCCGTAACAGCGACACAGAAGAGGAAGTGGTGCTCTGTTTACATCATGGATCTATGGTTTATCTCCAGAGGTCATGCAGAAATGACACTGAAGATGAAAAATTCAATGGATTTAGTGATTTGGAGTGAGATCGTAAGTTTGGTAAACTTATGTTGTGTTGTTTATGCTCTAATTATCTGAATAACTGTTATATTGCGTTAACATATTAACGCCTATTCAGCCTGTTGTTCTCTATTCTATTGTTTTTACTATAACTCGCCTTTCAAGATGAAATGTCGGTTCCTGGTCTCTGATTTGATAAAATAACTTTCCCCAAAAAGTGCGACTTATAGTTTCTTCTTCATTGAGTATTTTTTGGCTGGTGCAACTTATAGTCCCGAAAATACTGTAAATGTCGACAAAGATGGTCTCGATTTGGTCTTGATCTCGACTTTTATATGTCTTGATCTTATCTTGGTCTCAACCCTCAAAGGTCTTGGTCTTGTCTTGGTCTTGGCCAGGTCTTGGGCTCAATTATTCCGGTCTTGACTACAACACTACATTATGTCAAAATCGTGTCTCGTCTCTCTGTGAAAATTGTGTCTCGTCCGACTCCTCGAAGCAACTATCATCCCACTAAACCAAATCATAATTAGAGTCCAGGTATTCACGTTCTTTTTCTAACTAAAACTATTCCAAACACGCCCATGGGAAGCACAAATTTGGACTTTTAACAACGTCCACTGTCACCCAAATGCGTCAGCCGAGCCCGTAGCTAAAAGGGTCATTTATGTTCCAAGAGTTGCCTTTAGGTTTGGGGCTGTACTCATCTGCATCAGGATTCAATGACCTTGATACGGGTGCCTCGGGCTGGACGGAGGGGTGGCGGTGGCGGTGGCGGCGGCGGTGGTGGTGGTAGCGGGTCGTTGGAGCGGTGCATTGTGGGTAAAAGACAGAGAGAGACTGGGAGGGCAGAGTCAGAATAACTGTGTGTGAAATATCTGGAGCCGTGGGGCGGAACGGGGCAGTCTCTGGATGTACCTGGATGATTCCTGAGCTCACCCACTGAATTCAAACGAGAACAGAACAGAGGCTGCACACGGGGAGGAGACTGGGGAAGAAAAGCGCACGGATCTAACGCCTATCAGTCATTTTTTATGCTCTTATATTCAAGGTGACATCGCAAAGAACAGATCTGACTGCAGTGTTTTCCACAGGGGGGTTGCAAAAAAAGGACATATTTTTGGTCATGTTTGATGAGAGTGGCTGACTGTAATTTTATGTAGGAGAAACTTGTTTAACAGGGCCAATCAGATCACCAGAGATTTTGTTAGAGTAAAGCTCAGATTAAAGTCTAACAAGGTTCAGACAGAGCAGTGCCTACAGTTTGCATCATGTCCCCAGGGAAAGATCAGATACAAGTCTAACAAAGCCTCAACTAGAGCAGAACCTACAGTTGGTGTTACAGAAATTGGTTCTTCGTGGTCAAATTGTGTTAAAATAAAGCTTAAATTAAAAGTCTATCAAGCTTCAGACAGAGCAGTGCCTACGGTTAACATCACACCCCCAGGGAAAGATCAGATAAAAGTAGGGGTGTAACGCTGCACAAAAATCATGGTTTGGTGAGTACCTCGGTTTTGAGGTCTTGGTTCGGTTCATTTTCAGTACAGTAAGGGAACAAAATGGAAAACCAATTTGTTTTAACATTATACAAACGGGAAAATAAAATAAATGCAAAGTGCTGCTTGGTAAAACTAATAAGCTGAATAAAATATTCTCAAATAAGCAACAAATGTATGATATATTATAAAAAAAAACTTTTCAAAAGGTAAAGTGCAGCACTAACAGTTCCAGCATGAAGTTTTACTCAATCTTAATATTTTTGGCCAGAAAAAAACAATTTGTCCACATTGTCTGAGGTAAGTACAGATCTGCTGCAGTTACAACGTCCCCAGTGGTTGAAAATACACTTTTGCCAGGGACAGGGTGGGGGGGGGGATTCTGTGCCGGCAAAAGGCAAAAGTGAGAAAAGGGACGCAATGACTGTAGTTTTGCAAGGCGGGGGGGCAATTGCTTTCAAGGTGGCCGCCCTAACTATAAAGCACAGCGGGAAACACTGCCACCCCGATCATGGACAAGTTCCCCCATGAATATTAAAGAGCCGAGCCTCTGTGTAGCTCCACATGTAGCGGTGGAATGTAAACAAACACAAATTGTGCGAATTCACTCGTGCACAGCCCCGTCCCGGACCAGAATGGTTCAGCACAAATACATGTACCGTTACAACCCTAGATAAAAGTCTAACAAAGCCTCAAATAGAGCAGAATTTACAATTAGCATTACACAAATCAGTTATTCATGGTCAGATTTTATTAAAATAAAGCTCAGATTAAAGTCTAACAGATTTCAGACAGAGCAGTGCCTATGGGTAACAAGGAATGTTTATGACGTCAGCTGCAAAGTATCAATAGTGAGTCTCATTAGGTTATATTGATAATTTGGAGCTGATCTGATCAAAATTCCTTGTTAGACTTTTATCCGAGCTTCATTTTAATTAAATTTGACCAGGCAGAACTGATTTGTGTGATGCTAACCGTAGGCACAGCTCTGTCTGAGACTTTTTAGAATTTAGAACCGATCTTTATTTTAACTAAACCTAACCACGAAGAACTGATCTGTGTGATGGTAACTGCAGGCAGTGCTCTGTCTGAGGCTTTTTTAGACTTTAATCTGAGCTTTTCTTAACAAAATTTTACCACAAAGAACTAATTTGTGTGATTCTAACCGTAGGCACTGTTCCGTCTGAGATTTTTTAGACTTTAATTTAAGACAATCTGACCATAACAAAGTGACTTGAAACTACAATCTTAAAAAAGTGATGTTTAAACCCATTTTGTATTCAGCATTCAGACAATCTCAACTTTTTTTGACAGTGTTTGCTAATGTATGCATTGCGTCGCCACGGTAACGGACAGAAATACACCATCACACCGTTTCCCCTCCACTTACCCACTGGCGACATCTCCGGCACGGTGGCGGTGTAGGGCCCCTCCAGGAACTTGGGCTCATTGTCGTTGATATCCTGGACTTTGATGACGAACTCGGACTCGGGCTCCAGGGGCCGGTTGGTGTTGAGGTCCACGGCCTGAGCTCGGAGGGTGTAGTAGGGCCTCTCCTCGCGGTCCAGGCTGCGCAGAGCGTGGATGTCGCCCGTGGTCTGGTCTATGGTGAAGATGGAACCGGCGCCTTCTCCAGACAGAGTGTACTTCACCGCGCTGTCGCCTTTGTCCAGGTCTGTGTGCAGCTGCAGAAGACAGGAGAAGAGATTTAGTTTAGTTATATTATTCATCTCAACTATATACTCAGACTTTAGGTTTTGTATTTTTGCTGTTTTGTATTTATCTTATGCATTTTTTATCTCAGCAAACACCACAGAACAATCTGAAGTCTTCCTGTACTTTTGATTTATCAATTTTATACCTTTTAACACTATTAGACATATTTCTTTTGAGAGCCTTGTGCAATAGTAGTGGTAGTAGTAATAGTAGTAGTAGTAGTTGTTGTTGTAGCAGCAATTGTAGTAGTAGCAGCAGCACTGGTAGTAGTAGTAGTAGTAGTAATGGCAGCAGAAGTAGCAGTAGAATCATTAGAAGTAGAAGCAGCAGTAACAGTAATGTTGGTAGTAGTAGTAATAGCAGCAGCAGGAGCAGTTTTAGTAATAGTAATAGTACTACTAGTAGTAGTAGTAGTAGTAGTAGTAGTAGTAGTAGCAGTAGTAGTTGCAGTAGAATCAGTAGTAGCATAAGTGGTAGTAGTAGTAACAGCAGCACTCGTAGTAATAGTAGTAGTAGTAGTAGTAGTAGTAGTAGTAGTAGTAGCAGTAGTAGTTGCAGTAGAATCAGTAGAAGTAGAATCAGTAGTAGCAGAAGTGGTAGTAGTAGTAACAGCAGCACTCGTAGTAGTAGTAGTAGTAGTAGTAGTAGTAATAGTAGTAGTAGTAGTAGTAGTAGTAGTAGTAGTAGTACCATTGGTAGCAATAGTAGCATTAGTAGCAGTAGTAGTAGTTGTAGTAGTAGTAGAGGTAGTAGCAGTAGCAGTACTACTAGTAGTAGAAGTAGTAGCATTAGTAGCAGTAGTAGTTGTAGTTGCAGTAGTAGTAGTAGCAGTAGTAGTAGTAACAGAAATAGCCGTAGAATCAGTAGAAGTAGAATAGCATTAGTAGTAGCAGTAGCATTAGTAGCAGTAGCAGTCGTAGTAGTAGTAGTAGTAGTAGCAACAGTAGTAGTAGTAGTAGTAGTAGTAGTAGTAGTAGTAGTAGTAGTAGTAGTAGTAGTAGCAGTAGCAGTGGTAGTAGTAGTAGTAGTAGTAGTAGTAGCAGTAGCAGTGGTAGTAGTAGTAGTAGTAGTAGTAGCAATACCATTAGTAGCAATAGTAGCATTAGTAGCAGTAGTAGTAGTAGTAGTAGAGGTAGTAGTGGCAGAAGTAACCATAGAATCAGTAGAAGTAGAATCAGTAGTAGTAGTAGAAGTAGTAGCATTCGTACCAGTACCAGTAGTAGTAATAGTAGTAGTAGTAATAGTAATAGTAGAAGCAGTAGCGGCATAAATAGTAGATAATTAGTACTAGTAGTAGTACATTTTGAACAGAAAACCAGATTAAAAGTATTCAGTTACTTCCTAAAAGTGGCATACAGCTGTGTCCGTGTGCTCCTTTCCTGCACTGTCACTCTTGTCTAGGTCACTGTGTAGCTTCAGGGGGAGCAGACCAAACACTGTCTCTGTAATGGCTGAATGAACACACAGGGGGCGCTGTGTCAAAGAAGGACGGAGACGGAGAGGTCAGGACAAAACTGCACTGACCAGGAGGATAAAACAAAGACTAATACTGCGTTTGTTTGAGCGTTTACTCTGGGGCAGCAGGAAGTCAGTGTGGATTTAATCATGAGTGTGAAAATCTGCAAATGTAAACTTAAGTGAGAAGTAAAGTGATGCAACAAGTCAGCAATGTCAAACCTACGAGCAGCTCAACAGCATTATCAGTGGTATTTTTAACTATAGTTTAGATGCAGCATTTTCCACTTTACATCCGTGTGGGGCTCTGCAGTGACAGCACGCCCACACATTTCCTATTCATTTTCTCACAGACTTTACAAAAAAGTAAAAATAAATAAAAGTTTGAAAGCTCAGGGGTAATCAGCTACGTGGCGACTAATGGCCACAAGACTTAGAATTTTTGAATGATTTTTTGACGGTTTCTGAATCTTAATAAACTGCTCAGTTATGTAAACATTTCACTGAATCTTGTGTTTTAAATGTGCTTTTTGGATTTAAAACTACTGTGATATGGATAATTATCATGTATGGCTAGTGAGCCTCTGTGATAACTTTAAACTTTTAATATAATTTAATATATTTTTCTAAAAGTCTGTGGGAAAATTTGTGGGAATTTTTAGTACTAAAACTGAAGCCGACTTCAAATTGGGCTGGATCAGAAGAGTGGAAGTAGATGAGGTGTCTTTTTGTTTTAGACATTGTCAATGCTCTGTCCTCACAATGCTGAAATTTCAAACTCAGTTTTGATACTAAAGAACAGTAAGTAAGTAAGTTTTTATTTATTTAGCACTTTTCACAGACATTTGTCACAAAGACGCTTTACAGAGCATTATTCATTCACTCCATACCCAGGTGTGGTAAGCTACTACTGTAGCCACAGCTGCCCTGGGACAGGCTGACTGAAGCGCGGCTGCCACACCAATCAGCGCCATTGGCCCCTCCGACCATCACTCACACACACACCACTTTCACACTAGGCAATGTGGGTGAAGTGTCTTGCCTAAGGACACAACAGCAGTTTTTTTTGTGACTAGTGCCCCCTGTGACTCCTGATTTTCCCAGCAGTCTCCCATCCAAGTCCTGACCAGGCCTGGACCTGCTGAGATTCTGAGATCTGACAGAATCAGGCTGGCTAGATATGCTACAAGATTTGCTATGATCAAGGAGGATCAAGGAGGCCACTGAAATCAGAAAACGAGGCACGGACAGCATTAACCGTGATGATCGTTCCTCCTTTCACACACCTGGGACACCCTCCTCCAGAGACACCGGGCGACGGGAGGCGTGGTCAGTCTGAGCGACCTGCCAGGTCCATCAGGCTGCCCACGCCCACAGGAAGTAACAACAACTGATATACGACACGTCACCACACACACCGGTGACACTTCTGAAGATGGCTTGCAGCAAGGTAAATACACTTTACTGCATTGTCTTTAAAAAGAACCCAAGAAGTTAGATTTGCTATTCAATACTGATTCTGATATCACGAAAAAAAACCAAAAAAAAAAAAAACACTTTCTTTAGACAACAGTATTCTATTTTTAATTTTAAATCATATCTTGATATCTTTTCTATTCAGACTTAGACTTAGCTCACACATCACAATATTATATAATAACAACAATATAAATAGTAATAATAAATTCTAAATAAGCAACAATAAAGATAGCAAGAGACAGACACACACACACCCACACTGAAATAGAAAAATAAGCGATAAAATATAAAATTTCAGCTATATATAAGAGGTCATGGGAAGACTGTGCAAAAATGATATGATGACTGACAGGACATGGGTTATCTGTTACATAAGGCTGAGTTGTTGTACAGTTGTATGGAGTATGGTATGAACGTAGTCCTGTATCTTTATATATATCATATATCTCTCATATTCCCATGTGGTCTTATATCTGTGTAGATATATACTTTTGAATGAGTATACTTTCAATACTAGTTTTAGAATACAATTTTCAATACTTTTGACAACTCCACAATGTACAATTACTATACTACTCCAAACTATGACACAGTTTCTATCTTTTATTATTAAGTTTGATTAAATCCCTCTTTTCTTCTATTCCAGGGCTTTTGGTTCAGGACAAAAGCGTTTTAATTTTCATTTTATATGTTGTTTCCTTTGTTTTTTAATTAAACTTCATGCATTTCGTTTGGTAAAAATTCACAAAATTTCCACATTATTTCATGAAAACCAAAATCCGAAACTCAATGAATTTCTGCCAGAACACCGCCGTCTCTGCTAATACGGCGTGTGTGTCCCTCAAACACATTTGCTTTGTGGACATAGCGCTGTTTATCCTCCCTCCAGAGCCGTCCCTTCGCCACCATCGCCACAGATCCGACGCCAAATAAAGACACAATTTGGACTTTTTTTTTATTACCCAGAGTCAAATTCACAGCCAAATCATCCATCTGGCTCCGGGCAACGCTGACATCGCTGCCAGTAACAACCAAACTTGAACCGAGATAAGTGAGATTTTGAACAAACGCCATCGCTAATGCAAACGCTGATGGGGAAAAAATGATGTGAGAATAATGTGCTAAAACGTAATGGCGTTATGGATTTAAAAAAAATGGGGGTTTGCTTTTTAATTGTAACATGTGAGTGAAAGTCGTAATGGTCAAAACTGCCGCTTCATGACATCATAAGGTGGAACAGAGCATTTTGAGCTTTGGAGATGTAAACAGACTAAAAATAAAGGATTACTCAGTGTTTACATGCACATCAGCATCTCGGTTATTAGCCATATCCCGGTTATGGCAGTATTCAGGATCTGCTGTTTACATGTGCGCTGAGAAACTGGGATACTCGTCTGTGTACATGATTAAATGGAGTATCCCAGTTTCTTGACATAGTCTTACAAATGTGCAAGCGCAAAAATTATATATTTAATAAACCAGGAAAAATACAAACAACCATGAGCTCCTTTAGCAGAGGAAGCTCGGGAGGTTCCGACCCAGCGGTAAGGAGCTATGAGGCGTCGCACAATCCACTACGCCGATCAAGCCGAACGTTTCCAAACACACCACAACAGATTCTTAATTAAAATCTTCTGCATTAATAAACTCAACTTCACAACATATAAACCATAACCACTATAGAGCCACGTCAGCCCGTTTGATAATATAATTTAGCTTTGCACACATTTGTTTACGTTTTACAGAAACAAAACTTAAAACCACATGACTCATTTGCATAAACTATAAGTGCTGAAAAAACAGCTCGCTCCTTGTGCGCTGATGCGGTTCAGCTTCTGTCAGACTTAAAGGTTGTATAGAAGATTTTCCAAGGAAAGAGAAATGCAGCGACTGTTTGTCCTTTTTCAAATGTTGTGCTTCGCTTCTTTTCCCCTTCTCTTCTTCTTTCCTCGACGTCAAAAACGGATTTTCTTTTGTGATGAACTGGTCGTGAATTCTTGTCTGCCATTACAACAAACTTTGTGCAAACTGAGAG